AGCTATTCAGATACTGATTCATTGAACAAACGTGTAGCAAATGAGTGTCAGGCACTTTGCTAGTCACCTTTGGCCTGAACACATTGAACAAGATGTGTGCCCTAAGGGGCCTGCAGTCTACTGGAGGTGACAGATCTATAAACAGGAAATTATAACAAGCCATAAACAACAATTTGTTTACTGCTATTGTCAGAGCGTGGAATAGTGCTTGCCACATGCTTGTACTTATTACATATTTACCAAATTTGTAATATTTGAAATATGAAATAAGTTGGATTAAGCAAAAGCAAAAAAAAAAGAGAGAGATTCGTTTTAACTTGGAGAATAAAGAAAAGGTTTCACAAAGGAGGTTGTATGTGAACTGAGTGTAGAAGAACAGAGCAGTTTTTGATAGAGGAAGGATAGGGATGAAGGATTTTTAGGTTGAGGGAAAGCACAAGCAAAAATGCAGAGACATGCACATGTATGTCCACCTAATGGACATCATCCTGGAAGTCGGGAATCAGATATAAAGAGGCAGAAGAACATTTCAGGCAAAAGGAACAGCATGGATGGAGGCTGGTGCACAGAGGAAACGTGGTAAATTTGAAGAAATGAAAGAATTTAGGGTAACAGGACCATATACTCTCAGGAAAAATAGTAGTAAAAAATAAGACAAGAGAGGCAAATAGGTCTAATTTATGTAAAGCCTGTAAACCACATGAAGTAGTTTGAAGAAGTAATGGAGAGAAGTAGCATGGTTTGATATTCATTTTAGAAAGGTCACTCTGGATACGCTGTGCAGAATGAACTGAGGGGACAGCATGGGAGACCTCTCTGAGCTGCGCTAGCAATCACAGCTCCAAAATTACCTGAGTGGCTGGGAAGCTGATGGTCAGTGTGTGTGTGTGTGTGTGTGTGTGTGTGTGTGTGTGTGTGTGTGTGTGTGTGTGTGTATGTGCATTTATTTTGTTCTTTAGATTTCACATATAAGTGAAATCATATTGTGTTTGTCATTTTTTTATTTTTACTTTTTTCTTTATTAATTAAGGTATTACATATGTGTCCTTATTCCCCTTTTAGCCCCCCACTCCCCACTCATGCCCTCACCCCCTGGTGTCTGTGTCCATTGGTTAGGCTTATATGCAGGCACACAAGTCCTCTGGTTAATCTCTCCCCCTTACCCCCCACTCCCCTGCCTTCCCTCTGAGGTTTGATGGGCTGATCAATGCTTCTCCGGATCTGTTTTTGTTCATCAGTTTATGTTGTTCATTATATTCCACAAATGAGTGAGATTTTGTGGTATTTATCTTTCTCTGACTGGCTTATTTCACTTAGCATAATGCTCTCCAGCTCCATCCATGCTGTTGCAAATGGTAAGAATTCCTCCTTTTTTACTGCAGCACAGTATTCCATTGTGTAGATGTACCACAGTTTTTTAATCCAGTCATCTCCTGATGGGCACTTAGGCTGTTTCCAAATGTTAGCTATGATAAATTGTGCTTGATGGTCATATTAATAGAGGTAAAATGTACACCCAAGGATGAGGAGGTTGGAGGGCAATAAGACCTCCCTGTGCTGAGGAATATATATATTTGGGGCTAGACCTTAGCAGGTGTCTGGGCTGAGAATTAAAATGTATGCATTACTTGCATACAAGTGATAGAGCTGGTCCTAGTTTAAATAGGTAATAGATGACATCACCCTGGGAGATTGTAGGAGCAGAAGATAAAAGAGTCAAGAATAGAATGTCTGCAATTTAGAGGGAACAGAGCCAGGGAGGAATATTGAGAAGATTGCCTAGAGAGATGGAGAAGAGCCAGCAGAGTTCTGCTGAAGCATCTATAGAGGAATGAGTTTCAAGGAGAAAAAAAAAAAACTATCAGTGCAAGGGCTGAGTGTGGTGGTTTGTAGATGTTGATTGAGCCAAGAGAGTTAATAGTGTTGTGTACATCTTCTAATTCATGCAGATATTTCATCTATTCTATCAGTTGCTTAGAGAGGCATGTCAGAATTGCCAAATATGGTTTAGTGGGTTTGTTTAATTTTCTCTTTAATTCTGTCATTTTTTTACTTCATTTATTTATAGTTCTATTATTAGGCATTTACACACTTACAATGTTATATTTTCAAGATGTGGCCTTTTGTCATTATGAAATGTCCTTTTTATTCTCAACTAATACTCCTTGTCTTGAAGCCTATTTTACTGATATTAAGGTAGCTACTAAGCTTTTTTAGGTTTGTTGTTGCATGATATCTTTTTTTCAATCCTTCAACTTATGTGTGACTTTGTTTTTAAGCTTGTCTCTTGTATACAGCATACGATTGGATCTTATTTTTTATTCAGTCTGAAAATTTATGCTTTATAATTTGCATTTTAGTATAATTACTAATACACTTGAATTTAGATTTACTATTTTACTTTCTTCTTGTCCCATCTGCTCGTCCCACCTGTGTTTTGTTCCTCTGTGCTTTCACTACTCTCTTCTCTTGAGCTAATTCAATACTTGAAAATTTTTAACTTATCAGTTGGCTTCTGTGCAGAAGAATTTATGCCTCTTTGCATGAATTTTAGTTTTTTTCTCCAGGGATTAAATTATATATCCTTAACATTTCACAGTCTCACTATATCACCATCTCATTTGAAATATTATAATCTTGCACCCAGCTTGTGTGGCTCAGTGGTTGAGCGTCCAACTATGACCCAGGCTGTCACAGTTTGATTCCCGGTCAGGGCACATGCCCAAGTTGTGGGCTCGACCTCCAGTGTGGGGCGTGGAGGAAGCAGCCAATCAATGATTCTCTCTCATCATTGATGTTTTTATCTCTTCTCTCCCTCTCTCTTTCTCTCTGAAATAAAAAATATGTATATATTTAAAAATAAACAATTAGAATCTTGCAACCATATAGAAAAAACGGTTTTCCCCTCACTCCCATCTTTCTCACATGTATAATAAAAGTCAATGGAAAAAATTTGACTTAAAATTTACTTTTATATAAATACGGAGATGTACCCATGTACTTTGGAATACTATAAATCTAGTATTCTAGGAATATGTTAGTATTTTTAACAGAACCTTTACCAACTAGATATAACTTGCTCGTATGCAAAGTAAGAGTATTCTAGAAGTTGTTTTCATCTACCAGTTCTCTATTTCCTTTCATCACTATTAAGTAAGCTATATTCAATTTAGAAAAACAACATCATTACTTTTTCTTGGTCCTTGTGCTTCAGTCTGTCCTTCACTCAAAAGTGTTCAAACATTTATCGAACACATCCTATGTGAGTGGCACTCTTAGGTGCTGAGATACAAAGGTGACTCCTAACAAGGTCTCCTCGAGAGCCTGTTTGCAGGTGGGGAAGAGGAACCTTGTAATAAATGAGATGAAATGTTATTCACAGGATTCCAAATGGGATATGTAAGACAACAATAGGTTACAGGCAGGAGAGAAAAGGATATAAAGAAGGTGATTCTTGAATTGAGTTTTGAAAGATAATGAAGTTCAGAGATGAAAAGGTTGGGGGAAATGGAATTCCCGGTAGAGGTAGTGATGTACATTTCTTGAATTGTCTAGCTGGTATACTAGCAGCGTTTTTGCCCGTGGTTGGCCTCCAACTATGGATGAAAATCGAAAGGAAGGTTTTTAGAGTCTAAGAAAATTTTCTTTTCTTAGACACTCATTGCCTGAAAGTGGTGCTGCTAACATATGAATGTGCATTATGAAGTAGGCTGCGATGAACATTGTGATATGCAAACACCTGAGAGCGAATTACACAGCTCCTGTGTCCTCTTCTTTCAGAGCTTCGAATGACATAATCTTGCTATTGTCCTCTCTCACATAGTTATGCTTTTAATTTCAAGAACTCTTTCTCTCTTAGAAATAATTTTCTTTCTGTCCATATTCAAGTTCAGGTGAAACTACTTGAGAGCAAGCCGTAGGGCTGAGCATGGATAACAGTGTACACCTGGGAATGTGGACTAGGCTCATAATTCATAGATATCCCTATATCTGACCCCCTTACATATCAACTCCTTGCAATTCCTCAGTTCCTTCTATTTACAGTAATTATTATTTATCTGTTATAGTCCAGATACTTTGTCATACTCCAGATACTTGGTGATATTAATTAAATGGACAAAGATCCCTGACCAGATGGAACCTAACATTTTAGTAATCATCACAACAACTCTGAAAGATGGCCTCTTCTCTCCCATGTGACAAAGGATTTATTAAAATTAGACCACTGCCTAAAGTAGTGATTTTCTTTCATGGGCTTTCTTGTAAGATTGGGGCAAGAAGACTTTTTTTTAAAAATCAATCTTTATTGTTCATATTATTACAAAGGTTCCTCATTTCTTCCCCCCTCCACCAGGTTCCCACCCTCTCTCCACCTCCCATTGTTCTCATTCATAGGTGCACAGTTTATGTTCAGAAGAAGACGTTTTTAAATATATATAATTTCAGGAAAAAAAGACTTTTTGTGTGTGTGACTGGGGATTCTGTAAGGATAGACCAATATAATACGCCAAGTTTTCTCTAGTTTATCTGGTTTACAAATAAAAGATGAAAGTACTAGAAACATAGTGGTTTCAGAAACAGTAGTAGGTGAAGGGGAAATATTTTAAGACAAGTTGTTTGAAGCTTTCTTCTTCGTGTGCTCAGTGAGGAGCGAAGGCAGCCCCCGACTGACTAAGGCATCGTTACAGTGCGGGTACAGCTTAAAGAGGCAGAGGAGAGCCGAAACCAGTTTGGCTCAGTGGTAGAGTGTTGGTGTGCGGACTGAAAGGTCCCGGGTTCGATTCCGGTCAAGGGTGTGTACATTGGTTGCCAGCACGTCCGCAGTGGGGGGTGTGCAGGAGGCGGCTGGTCGATGTTTCTCTCTCATCGATGTTTCTGGCTCTCTATCTCTCTCCCTTCCTCTCTGTAAAAAATCAATAACAAAACAAAGAGGCAGAGGAGAAACACAGTAAGAAGGCAGAAACAATTAGTGTATTCAGTTTTGATTTGTTATTTTACAGATGCCTTACCTACTCCCTCAGAAAAAAAACCATCTCTGCAGACAAATGTGAATTTGGACAAGAAAGCAGCGAGTACCGTTACAAATACTGTCACAGAAAACCCTTTTCAAATGCCTCCAGAAAAGCAGTCAACTGCAAAAAATTTTGAAAAATTGACAACTTTACCAGCATTTGGGTCACTGAGTAAAGAAGAGTCTGTCCATCCAAGTGTAAGAATATCCAAGTCGGATTCGACCTTCTATAACGGGGCCTCTGTAGAGACACTCTATGTCTCTCCCTCGTTCAAGACGTTTGGCCCAGCGAAGGAGACTGTAACCAAGAAGGATGCTCAGAAACCAGCCCAGCCCAGCATTGTTCAGAGGGATGTTGATATCCTCAAGAGCCTAACGGAATGGGGTGAGTCTAAAAACACACACAAAAATGCTCTTTTGAAGCATTCTTCATTTACTTTGCTTTCTTCCCCTTTCACTCTCCATCCAGGGGCATTAAAATGTGCATGTCATAGAGGACTTGCTCAGTTGGGAAAGTGCCCTTTAATTAAAGGGCCAATGGGCAGCCCACCCTTGTGGGTGACAATGCTCCACTGAAGCACAAGCTCTGAGCAGTTCTGGTGGCGATCACATTAGAAAGAACTGGCATAGACAAGAGCTTCCTTTTGGTTGTTTCTCGTTTATTCTCAGGAACATGTAAATGTCTGTCCTTCCAGAAAGGGCATGCAGGTTGAGGAATAATAAAGTTGTGACTGAGCAAGGAAATTCTTTGAAACTCCAGTTAATTCTCCTTAGAACAGCCTGAATGACTGAGGACTAATCTCCCCACATAAACCGTGGGCTGCTCCCATCTTCCTAAAGATCCAATAGCCTTCCCTGTCTGCGCAGCCCAGCTTCTGCCTCTCAGCAGCCTGCCGTTCTTTCCATTTGTCAAAGAAACCATGTGGCTTCACCACCTTTGGACTCTTGTCCCCTCTGACTTCTAATCCACCCTTTTCCTAGTTCGCTCTTCCTCATCTTTTAGAGGTCAGCTCAAACATCACTTCCTCAAGATTTCCTGACCCCTGGATTTTCAGATCCCCCCAACTGTATGCTATTTTAGTATCCTACAATTGTTCTTCCTAGCACTTATTGTCACTCTAATTAAATAAAATTATATATGCATTAAGTTTTTAATGTCTTTCCCCAAAAGTGGAACCTCATGCAGGAAGGGACCATATCTACCCTGTTTATTATTATATCCTCAGCACCTATCACAGTGCCTTCACTTAGGAGGCTCTCAATACTTAATAAGCGAACTAAAAGCAGCTTAGTAGAGAAGGAATGGAAAATGTACATGAAAAAGTAATAGAAGAAAACATGGGACAGTTAAGCCAGGATAGATGCGCTGTGTCTGTCAGGTTAAGTTTGGGCTTTATTTTGGAGACAATGCAAGTCACTAACGGTTTTAAGTCCCATGAGTGGCTTTGCCAATGTGTGTTAAAAAAATTACTCTCTCGCCGAAACCGGTTTGGCTCAATGGATAGAGCCTTGGGGACTGAAGGGTCCCAGGTTCAATTCCGGTCAGGGGCATGTACCTTGGTTGCGGGCATATCCCCAGTAGGGGGTGTGCAAGAGGCAGCTGATCGATGACTCTCTCATCGATGTTTCTAACTCTCTATCTCTCTCCCTTCCTATCTGTACAAAATCAATAAAATATATATTTTTTTTAAATTACTCTCTCGCGGAGTGTGGAGAATGGGTTTGGAGGAGGTGAAACAGGGAGGCGGCACTTCAGAGGCTATTTGGGAAAGGAAACTGGGTGAGAGCTAGGAGACAAGAAAGGGTGAGGAAGAGGGAGGCAGCCCAAGATGGAGCATGATCTGGGGGAGGTGGCCTAGAATCAGCACAGAAAGGGAGTCACCTCGTCCTGAGGGCCTGTAAGGAAGGAGGAGAAAGGCTGTATCAATGTGAGGGACGGGTTTTGTTGATTTTAATAATTAAGATGTATTAAGCCTCCTGTACCGTATACTGTAGTCTTGGCCTCAGTATCTTACTGTCTGATGTCACCTGCCAAGACTGAGGCGCTTGGAGTGATGTTACTGCTGTGAGGAGACTGGAGTGGATTTAGAATAGCCAGCCACTCGGGAGAATGGAAGAGGGAACTGAGGAGACGCAGACAAGGTGAAGGAGTGGTCACTTGCAGCAATCCTAGGTTATGGCGTCTGTGCTTTTCTCCAGCAGTGCTGAGCAGCCTGGGGATGGGAATGAAAAAGGTAAATATATAAATTGGAATAAGGTTAGGACAGGGATTGGTAAACTACCCTGGTCCACTGGATAGTTTTAATCCTCATCTGAGGATATTTTTCCATTGATTTTTTAAGAGAAAGTAGAGAGGAAGTGGAGGGAGAGAGAAACATCTATGTGAGAGAGACACATTGATTGGTTGCCTCCTGCACGTGCCCCAACCAGGGAATCGAGCCTGCAACTGAGATATATGCCCTTGAACCTAAGATCCTTTTGTCCAAGGGCCAATGCTCTAACCACTGGGTGAAACTGGCCGGGGACCACTGACTGTTTTTATAATCTAAGGGCTCTTGGAACACAACCACACTAATTGGTTTGCATACTGTCTTTGGCTGGTTTTGTGCTCTAACAGCAGAGCTGAGCAGTTGCAACAGACACTGTATGTCCCACAAAGCCTAAAATATTTGCTATCTGGTCCTTTAGAAAGAGGTTTGCTGACTCTCGGATTAGGAATTAGCAGCAGGTAAGGCAGAAGACACAGCAGCAAGGAGGTAGCAAGAAAGTGGTTAAAAGTGATGGATGATGGGATTTTACGCTGGACAAGAAGGGAGGTTGAGCCAGGCAGACACTGGTAGAGTAGAGAAAACAAAAGCATCATTAGATCTGTGGTCTCAACGAGGCCAAAGGGTAGATGTACTTAAAGGAATGAGGGGGCTGGGAGAAATTCAGAAGGAAAGTAATCTTGGAAAATAAGATTTCAGAGAGAGGCAGTTCTGAGTGATGACCTGTTCTAAGGAATACTCAGGGGAATGGCTGGTTGTGAATTCAAGAAATGATGAGGTGAGGATGGATGACTAGTCTCCATGGACGCTGGCATCACTCTGGATGATGGAGGATAGGGAAGGTAATACAGTAGCCTTCCGCCTCCCTTTTCCATGGTTTTGCATTTCAAAGTTTCACATCCCTCTGGCCAACTGTGAACTGAAAATATTCAATGGAAAATTCCAGAAATAAACAACTCATAAGTTTAAAATTGTATGTTGGTCTGAGTAGCACAGTGGAATCGTATGCTTTCCCCTCCGTTCTGTCCAGGATATTAATCGCCACCTTTGTCCAACTTGTCCATGACGTGTATGCCGTCTGCCCATTAGTCACTGAGTAGCCATCCAAGCGGTCAGACGGACTGTGAGGTCTCTCGGTGCTTGTGTTTATGTAACCGTTTTTTCACTTAGTGATGGCGCCAAAGCATAAGAGTAGTGATGCTGGCCATTTGGATGTGCCGGGAGAAGCCAGTCAGTGCTGCTTTCAAGCGAAAGGGGGAAAGTTGTTGACCTAATAAGGGAAGAAGAGAAATCGTGTGCTGAGGTTGCTAAGCTCTGTGGTAAGAACAAATCGTTTCTCTGTGAATTGTGAAGCAGGAAAAAGAAATGTGTGCTAACTTTATTGTCGCACCTCAGACTGTAGGTTCCAGCCGCAGCTGGTGATAACTGCTTCGTTACGAGGGAGAAGGCATTAAATCTGGGGGTGGAAGACATGAGCAGAAGACGTGTTCCGAATGATGCCAGCGAGTCATGTCAGAAAGCACTGAGCCATTTGGAGACTGCACAGGGTCCCCTGAAAGGACTGGCCACATGCACATAACTTTTATTGTTGTTATAATAGTTCCATTTTATTATTATCATTAATTTCTTACTGTGTCCAATTTACAAATTAAACTGTATCATAAGTATGTGCGTAGGGGAAAACCAGTACAATAGACCCTTTTTTTATTATTGATTTTTTACAGAGAGGAAGGGAGAGAGATAGAGACCTAGAAACATCGATGAGAGAGAAACATCGACCAGCTGCCTCTTGCACACCCCCTACCGGGATGTGCCCGCAACCAATGTACATGCCCTTGACCAGAATCGAACCTGGGACCCTTAAGTCCATAGACCGACGCTCTACCACTGAGCCACCCCGGTTTCTGCTACAACGGACCCTTAAACAACACAGGGGTTAGGGATCCCAACACCCATGTGAGCAGTTGGAAATCTGCATATAACTTTTGACTCCCAAAAGCTTCACTCAGGACTCCAGAGCCAGAAAAATTAACAATTTCCTCAAAAGAAGTGGGAAAACGATAGGAAACAGTTCTGCAAACCCTTTCGGCTAGTCCTGAGCCACGGGTTGGGCCGGTTCAGAAGCTCCGTGTTGAAGGGAGCCTTGTCCCACCGGAAGCCACAGCCAAGCTGCTGCCCTGCCCGAGACAGTCCAGCACCTCCTCCAGCTGCCGTCTTCCCCAGAAGCCCGTGCTCACAGCAGCCCCCTCACTCCCCCTCTCCCTAACGCCCGCAACCACCAGTCTCCTGGCTGTCTCCATGGATTGCCTGTTCTGGGCACTTCATATGGTGGGTCATACAGCATGCGGCCTTGGTAACTATGTCCTTCACTTTGCATGCTTTTATGGTTCATCCATGTTATAGCATGTATCACACTTTGTTCCTTTTTATGGCAGAATAATATTCCATTGTATAGACAAACACATTTCGTTTATCCACTCACAGTTGATGGACATTTGAGTTGTTCTCCCTTTTGACTGTTATAAATAATTCTGCTATGAAGGTTTGTGTAAAATATTTTTTAACCACTGGACAAAATCAGAATATTTTAATTTATATGTAGAGCTAACTTGGCAGCCATTATAAACCATTTAGGAAAATTGAAATAAGTGAATTGGAGAATGGGGGAAAAAAATCCCTGTAGTTTACAATGAACTATATTCACAGTACAGCTAAGTTCTAAAATATTTGTGGAAATGTATTTTTCATTTTACTTTTGCACCCACGAGTTCTAAATGCTTTTTAAATTTAAAGTTGTAATATAATGATTCAGTGTTACTCGTGAGTATAAACTTAGAGATAACAGCACTTGGGCTCGTCTTATCGGTGTGATCCTCAAGCAAGCAGAGCATTAAGTGGTGTGCATACATCACACATTTACTGCAGCTTATTTTCAGTAATTGCTGGGTTTCGGCTTTGGCAGATCGGCTTGAAGGGGATGAGAGTTAAAGAGGTACCCTCATAGCTTCCGAGTGCGTCAGAGAAGGAGACCCCAGCGGGCGGGGAGCTGCCCCCAGAGCTGCCTGAAGTGTCTGGTGCAGCTGCGCTGTGTTTGGAAACAAAAGCAAATGGCGCAGCAATTAGAAGTGAAGTGGCTTCTTAGGAGCAGAGGCAGCACGGAGCCCAGAATCAAAGCTGCTAAACTGAGTGGTGGTGAGCTAGTTAATGAGCCACCGCTGCAGAGGAAACAAGGTGGAGGTGCAGGAGAGAGCGGGTTTCTCACACCAGAGGCCTGTTAACACTCTGTCTGAGTTAGTGGGTCTGAGTGAAGCCAGGACCTTTGTCCTTAACAAGTTCCCAGGTGCTGCCGCTGCTGCTGCCGCTGCTACTGAGTCAGGGACCAACTCTGAGAACCACTCAAGTCCAGATATTTTTTTCTAATCTTTATTGTTCATATTATTACAGTTGTTCCTAAAGCGCAGATATTTTAACCACATTGTATATATGTGACTAACATAAGTGGTAATCTTCAAAAATACAAGGTAATATTTGACTTAAATATTATTTCCTCTTGGCCTACTTAAGTGTTTCTCATTAAAATCATTCTTCTTGACCAGTGTGCACTAATCCTAGAATAGTTTCTTAGTAACTTCAAGATATGCTTTGGGTCCTGGAATTTTGGAGTCTCATCAAGGACAGATAGTCTGTCCACCTGATTCATGAAATGGTCCTGCAAGCGGCCATGCCTGAGCCCATGAGTGCCAGGAACCTCACCCTTTCCCCACGCTCCCACTTCATGTGTGGCCAAGCATTAGAAAATGTTACGTGTTGTTTTTTTTTTTAATTGGGCTAAAATCTGTTTTCCTATAACTTTCATCTATTGATCCCAGTTCTAACTCATGCACCATTTGAGAAATGACATATAAATATTGCTAAGGTTTTGTGACTACCTTCTAATAATTAAATATAGCCTCTCACGTTTTCTCCCACTCTCCCTTTTTTTGTAAAGATTTGCATTCTTTATAGACATTTTCAAACAAGCAAGTTCTTTTTTCCAGTGAGCTGCTGGAGAATGTGCTACTCCAAACTGAGAGTAAACCGAGAAAGAGAAAGACACGGGGGGTAGGACACAGGAGAGCCACACAGGAGACCGGTGCAGAGACATGTCGTGTGACTCAGGGCGCGTATATGTTGAGGCTTTCATCGTTAGCATGGTGCCCCTTTTCACCCAAGGAGCGACAGTGGATAAGCCGGCCTGAGTCTCAAGGGGGCTGGTCTCCTCCTGACCATGTGCCGATGACACGCTGCTTCCCTTCCCATCCTGCTGCTGCGTCACTAGAGGACTCATTTCACCCCGGAAAGTTCTGTGATTGGAATTTTTCCCGAGAACTGGAAAGCTTTGAAGCAGAAAATAGAAACCGCCTACACCAGCCATAATTTTTACAAGAGGTCCAATTTAGTTTAAAGGGATGTGAGCATGTAAAGGAAATAAAGTAAGATAGAAAGTAATAGCCCTAGCTGGTTTGGCTTTGTGGATAGAGCATCGGCCTGCCAACTGAAGGGTCCCAGGTTCGATTCCGGTCAAGGGCATGTACCAGTGGGGGGTGTGCAGGAGGCAGATCAATGTTTCTCTCTCATCGATGTTTCTCTCTATCCCTCTCTGTAAAAAAAAAAAAAAAAAAAAAATCAATAAAATATATATATATTTTATTTTTTAAAGAAAAGAAAGTAATTTGTAAGTCATAGGTGCTAAGTGGTAAGCATTGATTTCCTGTTTTATGATTATAGAGAGTAAGGTTTTTTATTTTTCAATTTAAGTAGCAAGTCCAGAGTTAGTTTCAAAGATTTTAGAACTAACCATTTGTACCACCTAATTCATAAATGAATGTACATAGATGTTCCAAGGAGACAAGAAAAAGTTCTGTGTCCAAGAAAGTCTGGGAAAACACGAGTAAACACTGTGCTAATCGAATGGGAGGCACGGTACACAGTCACTAGTCTGATTTGACCCAGAAGCCAAGCCCCGTTTTCCCAGATCATGTTGTTACACCGTCAGGCACACCTCATTCCTCAGAATACACTTCGGGAAATAATGACTTAGAACGAAGTGCTAAAGAAGAGATTTAATACAGTTTTTCCTGAAAGTTAAAATGTTATTAAATCTTTAATTTTATGGAGAATAGACTTAGAGTGCTTTTTATTTTACATGCAGTTTCTCGGTGGAAAACTAATTGCATGCATGCACTAGTGTTCTGGATCTCAGATGGACTGAACTTCAGTCTTGACATGTTTGACTCTTGAGAGAAAAAAATCAGTTTCACAACTTTTGATACCTGTAGTTGGTTGTTCGTTTTGCCATAGTATACTCTGTAGAAGAAAAAATGGAGAAGGAATGTAAGTTGCAGGTTTCTCAGACTTTATATTTTAAATGTCAACTTAAAATGCCATCAGTAGAATGGGGCGTAATGCTTGACTTTCTGCTCTCTCTGACAAGTGGAATATAAAAATATGGTAGTCAGGATCTGAGAGTGAAGATAAATATTGGTCATTTTATTTTAGTTTCCATTAGAAAAACTTTAGATTTTTCTCTGTTTCCTGCTTTAGGTTTATTATTATTATTTTGCACATCAAATTCTAAGTAGAGTATTTGAGACCTTTCAGATAGGATTTGATGCTGTAAAATTATTCTAGCTAGTAGTCTCGTTTGTATGTTGCGTAATCTTTCTCGTTTATACGTTTTAGTGTCAACCACCTCTGAGGGGACATCCTCCTTTTCTACTCTCTCTATATCGTCTCCTGACTCGGCCTCTCCAGACAAGTGTGCTCCTCTCTTACCGCGGATTTTGACTGGACCTTCCTACTGGGCTTTGTCCCATCAACAGTCTTCTTCTGTCTCCTTTGAAGATAAAGATAAGAAAGCCAGGGTTCGTCACCCCTTTGCTCCTAGGAGCCCTCTGTCTTCCGATGAAGAAACGGACAACTTTAATCTACTGGAAAGTCTTCCAGATAACTCTGATTCTGCTAAAAAGAAGATAAGTCCTATTTCTAGCAGTAATTGGGTAGGGCTTTCCACCCAAAGTGTAGACCACTTCACCTCTGTGCCCTGTCCTAGTTTCCAGACAACCAAAGGCCCGCCTCAGGAGCCTAAAGCAAACAGTTCCATTCAGGGTCTTCTAGGGGAGGTAAAAAATGCAATAGTCAAACTACACGAAGACCTGAGTATGGTGATACAAGAACTTTGTGTCATCAACAGCCATCTGGTAAGAATGAGTGGGAATAGCCCACAAACCAGCATGGCTTCACCTCTGCCCCAGTCCTCTGAGGAGAGCTCAGATCCAATAGAGTCATCCCAGTAACCAAATCTGATAGAGCTCATGTGGTTCCACTTCCCCGACACTGAGTTAGCCTGCGATAGATTCTCATTACTATGGCGAAATAGACTGACAGTTTGGTTTTTCTTTGTCAGATTTATTAACAAGTATCTTTCACATCAATAAATTCACTTGGGTGGTTTATTTTTTTAAACAGAAAAGGTTCACCTTCGATAATATTTTCAGATTTAGATATTAGTTCACTTGAAACTGAAGAGAATTTCATTCTTCCATGTTCTTTAAGTCAAAACACATTTAAACAGCAGTGCACGTTAAGGTAAGCCCTCACAGGGGAAATGAGTATTGTAGAGCTTTGGGGTGAGCTGGCAGTGAGAGGCCCTTTACTTCTCATCTGTGTGGGGTATCATTGGCAAAAGGCCTTTGCCTTGAGTTAGGAAGATTGAGTCTGGGGCATGGGTTTTACATCTCCTCATGCCACGTTTGTGTTCTGCAAACCAAAGGCCAGAACATTCCCCTCCTTATGGATGCCATGTTGGTTGGTTGGGAATTTAGTTGAGACAAACAGAACATGGAACAGGTGTTTTTGTTGTTCATGTATATGTCAAAGTGAATTCAAATGTTTACTTTCTTGTATTTTCAAAAATAAATTTGATATTTTTCATCTTGTATCTTTTAAATTCATTAAAATATCCTTTCACCTGGAAATATCTCAATTACTATATGAGCAGAATGGTCTCGTTTAGGGATTACAGGCCAATGCTTCTCAATCCTGTTTCGCCTGAGGATCCCTGGAGAAGCTTTTGTTTTGTTTTGTATTTGGTTGATGGAACAGTATAAGGGGCTGCATGTACCCATCACTCAGTTTCAACAACTTTCTATAAAAAGCTAAGATGATTGCTGATACAAATTTCGAAGAAATACAGGACGTGTAAACAATACTGTCATGCCTGGATGCCACTCCCAAATCAGAACTGATTTTCATGCAAACTAGTCAGGAACTGGAGGGAACTGTTAGTGCAAAGACTGCAAAGCAGGAAGGTCTTTGGCAGGTTTGAGAATGTCAAGGAGGCCAGGGTGGCTGCGGTGAGTGAGGAAAGGGGAGAGCGGGAGGAGAGGAGGCCAGGGAGGGAAGACAGATCAGAATGCCGGGCAGTGCAGGTTCCTCAAGACCTTTGTTGCAGTGTTCTAGAATACCAGCTTAATCCCAGACTTCGGTTCCTCATAGGGATGGTTCATTCCCAATTCATTCTCATTGCATAGTCATTGGATTTGACTTTGCTGGAAGGAGCTCTCTTGCTAAAGTTCACCGTGGGTGAGGCGGTTTCTGTTCCTGTCACCTGGCCAGGTTATCAGAAAGAGAGTTGGAATCTGGTGAACCCAACAAGTGCCCTCGGGGAGAGTGGCTTCTGCCATCATTTACCCATCGGGTCTTGGTCTTTTTCAGTTCCTGTTACTCCTAAGACTGCACCAGGCCCTGGGGTACAGTGGTGAGCTAACCAGTAGCTCCTGTCCTCAGAGCTTGAGTTCTAGAGAAATTTCAGAGATCAATTTGTTTTCTCAAAAATGTAAAGGCTAATAATAGTTCCGGGAAAGGTTCTTGAGAACTTAATCTGGCAAAGGAATTTTTAAGGAAGTCACTTTTGAGCTGAAATATGGATTCCAGGATTAATGAAATAAATGTCATTAATGACATGTTGGCCATAAAACTTCTTTATGGGATAAAAAAAAGAGCTTAAAAAAATCCTAAGAAATCTTCTGTTGGCTTTCTTCATACACCTGGGAGGTCCATGAGTGGATTCATAGGGAATAGAAGGATGCGGTATTTCCTTTGTATACGGGCTAGGACATTTCTGAGCTGCACCTTGCTCAGAGAGGAGAATAAAAACCTTCTAGAGATCAGACACAACTCCCTCCCCACCCCCATCACCAAAACGTGCTGCTTCCAATGTCTAGAAAGTTACTCGGAGGAACCTCACAAATAACTCAGACAACAAAAACCATCCCTTTGAGAAACGACCTTACTCGCTGTGTGCTCAGTACATGCACATGGGAACTTCAGATTTTTAACTAGAGCTCGTGCATTTTAATTCAGCCATTTGTTAATTAGCAAGCACTTATTTGAGTTTCTATTTAGCCAACTCCATTAAACGAATAGAGCAAACTTGGCTTCACTTAGAAGTGGGTATACTCTGATTGACTGTAATTATCCCAGTTTTAAAACACTTCATTAGACGGTACTCTCTTAAGTACTTTACTTGCAACTTGTGGCTCTTATCAGCCAACTATAAAAATACTTGACAGTTTACTTACTGTCAAATGACTCGTGTGTTCCTCCTTTAGATACCTAAGCAGCCCCGGTTAGGAGTCGGCCTTTTGCTAGACTCCGGGGACACCATGGTGAGCAGGGTGGCTGCAGTCCTGTCTCAGTTACAGTCTAGGGGAGACGTGGAGAGGCAGATGGGTAATTGGAGTGCAATGTGCACCTGGTAAGGCCTGTGACCTTGGTAAGCACAGGCTGGAGTGGGGGCGCCTGGAACAGAGGGACAACCTGCTCTGGTTTGGAGGCCAGGGAGCGCTTGCTGGCAGAAACGAAGTCCACACTGAATTCGGAAGGATAAGCAGGAGTTCGTCGAACAATTGGGGTCAGGACAGAGGGAATCTTCTGGGCAGAGAGGGAATCCAGGCAGAGAGAACGGCGTGCACAAAAGCTGGGAGCAGGAGAGAACTGGGTGAGTCTGAGAGGACACAATATCCAGAATGGCAGGTCAGAAGCGGGAGCATTTCGGTGGCCCTTACCCAGCAGCCCCGTCTGCAGCGGTCACGTGGCATTTCTGGCCTGGCTCTCAGAAAAGAACTGAGTGACAAGGAAATGGATCCTATTGGAAATAAAATGTCATAGAAATGTGAGGATTAAAGGGTTCCCAAAATCCATTCACAAACTGATTAAAATAAACTTTCAATGGACTTTGGGAGACCTGAAGACTCATCTCCCCGCAGAGTGAGTTTGGGGTGACAGGGGTTTGCTCCTGGTTGTGCCAGGATCCCTGCTCTTGTTTGCCCCCCGTTTTAAAGGGGAAAGGACCAAAAGAACAGCTAGGTGGAGGGGGTACACACCCAGGGCCCCCGGGGCTGTTTTGCTAGGCTTCCTTATTTTGAATACCGTAGGTGGATTCTGAGATGTGATAAAAGGGTGTGGAGATGTGGAACTGATTTTTATCTCTTGCAGAGTCATTTGCGGAGGCCACACACCGTATTGTTCCGGCCGCCTGTGCTGCCACCTTTCATCAGCAGGCAGGCTCAGAAAAGAGTAAATTGGCTCAGAAAAAACTCGGTTTTCAGGACGGTTTTGTTGGGTAATTTTGAATTCTGCTTTCTCCCTGATGATGCAGAAAGTTCTCAAAGATATGGTAATTATTGCAGAGCGGTGGCCTCCAGCGCGCGCAGCTCTTCGCCCAGCAGAATTCCATTATGCGGTAATGCAATCTGTGCGTGCCTTAGTGCGGCAGCTGAGAGCTGTCCCCCCTCGTCTCCCGCGTCCTCCTCACGCCACAGCACGCGTGGCAAGGGGCACGAGCACAAGTTCGGGACTCGGTGATTAATTACCAATGTGCGATGAGAGGTAGGAATGGCGGAAGGACTACCTTGTTTCCCCGAAAATAAGACAGTGTCTCATATTAATTTTTTCTCCCAAAGTTGCGCTAGGTCTTATTTTCAGGGGATGTCTTATCTTTCCATGCGCTAGGTCTTATTTTCGGAGGATGTCTTATTTGCGGGGAAACACGGTAGCTCCAGAATTCTGCTTTAATATAGTTACTCCAGCAGTAATAATAGTGGTTGACACTTATTAAATGCTAACAATGTTCTAAGCACTTTTTTAAATCCTCACCTGAGAATATGCTTATTGATTTTAGAGAGCAGGGATGGCAGAGAGAAAAACATCCGAGTGAGAGAGAACATCTATTGGTTGCGTTCTTTATGTGCCCCGACTGGAGATAGAACTCGCACCCTCAATATGTGCCCTGACTGGAAATTGGACCCACAACCTTTTGGTGTACAGGATGACGTCCAGCCAACAGAGCCACACCAGACAAGGCATTCTAAGCACTCTTTTTTAAAAAAAATAAATATATTTTTATTAATTTCAGAGAGAAAGGGAGGGGGAGAGAGAGAGAAACATCAATGGTGAGAGACTCACTCTTCAGCTAACTCCTACATGCCTCCTACTCGGGATGGAGCCCGCAACCCGGCATAGGCCCTTGACCAGAAATGAATCCTTCAGTCTGCAAGCCAATGCTCTATCCACTGAGCCAAACCTGCAGGGCCCAGTGGTCGACAAACTCATTAGTCCACAGAGCCAAATATCAACAGTACAACAAATGAAATTTCTCTTGAGAGCCAAATTGTTAAACTTCTTCTAATGCCACTTCTTCAAAATAGACTCACCCAGGCCATGGTATTTTGTGGAAGAGCCACTCAAGGGGCCAAAGAGCCACATGTGGCTCGAGAGCCGCAGTTTGCCGACCACAGGACTAGGGCATAGGCACTCTAATTCTCTCAACACCCTCCCCAGGAAGGTGCACATGAGAAAAGAGAGGCCTCGCAAAGCTCAGGATCTTGTCCAGGGCCACACAGGAAGGAGTAAGGGGCAAAGCCAGACCCTGAACCCTGGTCTGTCTTGGTGTGGAGCTTGTGCGTGCAATCACGTGATCACACGGCCTCCCTGTGCAGGGTGACGGTGGCCGGGTGGGCAGTGGCCACTGACAGGGACAGGAAAGTGGAAAGACAGGCAGGTCCACTTTCCCGGGGAGGAGCTGGATCCTCGCCTTCCTCACTTGCCCTCTCCTTCCTGTTCTCCAGCTGGTCACCGCCCCCCTCACTCCAGGAGGCTCTGCAGGAGCAGCTACAACAGACCTCCAGGTCTTCTTCCGTGGTGCCCCTGTTTCTTTCTTTCTTTCTTTCTTTCTTTCTTTCTTTCTTTCTTTCTTTCTTTCTTTCTTTCTTTCTTTCTTTCATATATTTTGATT